AGGGGGCGGGGCCGGGGAGGGCGACGCACCAGTGGGGTTGCCGGGGTTGATAATACAGAGCGCGCGCGGGCGGCAGTGGTCACGCGCCTGGTGCAGCGCGCGCCTCAACTCGGCCACGTCGAGCGCCCAGGCTCGCTGCTCGTCCAGGTAGTAGTCCACCTGCACCGCGTTGAGCTCAGCCAGCGCGGCCGAGTAGAGCGGGTACTGAGGGATGGGGATAAGCACGCCTGTGCGCGTGCGCCCCTCGCCGGACACCAGCAGCTTCAGCACTGTCTGCGAGTGGGATGGGGAGGTGGCGTTGGCGGGGCCAGGGGCTGCACGCCCCCCACCCCCGCGCCGCCGTGCCCAGAGGAGCCACGGTGTCCCCCTATCCTGGCTCCGGCCTACCACAATGGCGTCACTGGCCCCCGTGGACAGGAAGATGTTGTTGGGGTCCGCGGGAATGCCTCCGTCGCGCCGCTGGATGTACCGCGCCACATCCTCGCGGATCAGCTGGATGCCCGAGCTGACGCTGTAAGCCCCTGGGTCAAGGGGGCGGGGGGGGGGGAAGACACGTGAAGTCCTCTTGCAGCCCTCCCGACGAGATCCTCACCTTCCAGAACGCCGGTCCACCCCTCTCCCCGACATCCTCCCTCCAGTTCCTGCTCCTCCCTGGGGCTCTGGCACTCACCTAGGCTGTGGCCCCCGCACGCCTGCAATATGCGCTCCGCCCTTCTCTTGGCATCCGCGGGGAAGTCGGGGCTTTTCAGGAGGTCCGGGTGGACGCAGAGGGCCAGGACCTGGGAGGAGTGAGTGCTGAGGCCAGGGCAGTGGGCTGCCAGGGGAGGGGCGCAGGGGCAGTACCGAGCCTCACCTGGCGCAGGAAGGTGATTGGCTTCTGCCCCATGGCCTGTGCGTCCCCGATGTTGGCACGGACGACCTCAGTGAAGGGCTTCTTTACACCCTGGGAGGGTGGAGGCAGGACAGTGAGAATGGGCCTTATCACTCCTGCAGCCCCTTGTCCCATGCGACACTGGGAAAGGGGCTGACTGGACTGCACACGTGCCACCTGGAGGGCAGTGGGGGGCCCGGGGCCATACCTGGCGCAGCTCCTGCTCTAGCTCCAGGGCGCGCAGCACGATGGGGCCGCGAACCGCATACTCCACCCTCCGAACACACAGGTTCATGGTGTCCAGAGTCAGCACCTTTTCCCTCAGCTCGTTCATTGTAGCCTGGCTGTGGTCGCCTGCCCTCAAGGCCCTGCTCAGACCAGGCAGGAGGGAGGCTCAGGAAAAGGCAGGATCCAGAAGTGGGGATGAGGGCAGCTGGGTCCAGGCGTAGTGGACGGGGCTGGGAAGGAGGCGCGTGGGGCGCGAGCTCCGGGGAAGGAGGCACCCTCTGCCCCACAGCCTGTTGGCCTGAAGGAGGAGCCGGGGCCACAGGGCCCCGCCCCACCCATCTGGGTACAGCTCTGCCCCGGGGAGCCACAGGGACTGGGTGAGGAGACAGGCGGGGCTTGGGGCAAGGCCCAGTGCCTACCCAGTGTCCCCATGATGGGACCAGGAGACCCACATGGGGGGTATGGACAGACGGAAAGTTCAAGAAGCTCTGAGGGACTGGGTCTAGGGGAGGGGAGATGGGCTGAGCATCTGAGGTAGTTGGCAGAGCTGGACAGGCTGAACTCCAAGGGGAGCATAGAGCCTGGGGCCTCAGATTTACCCCAGCTGGGCTCGGTGCAGACAGCCCTTTCAGGCCCCCATCTTTGCTTGGGCCAGTCTCCCAGGTAACTGAACCAGGCCTCAGGAATCCTGGGGGTGTCGGGGGAGGGGAGTGAGGCGCTCAGACAAGGGGGCTCCATCCGGCCCCTCCTGGGCTGGTGGCCAAGGCCCAGGGGCTGTGAGAGCCCTGTGGCTGGCCCTTGGGCCCAAGTCTCTGGGCTTGGGGGCTGGCAGAGGGCCCTTGGGATACCTCTGCTGCTCTGTGCCCTTTCACCAGGCCAACCTGGGGCTGCCCTTGGGGCAGCACCACACTGCAGGCAGGGTGACCTAAGCTCTGCTTCCCGCTTGCTCCTGATTGGTGGGGAAAGTGGGAAGCCAGCAGTGATAGGTTCTCAGGGCCCCACCTCCACAGGCCCTGCCCAAGGGTGGCTGCCAGCAGGCAGGACAGGCAGGACAGGCAGGCATCCGGAGGGTCCGGCAGGCCCTCTGGCTGGGCTGTGGCCTGAGGGGAGCCTCTCTCCTGCTGGCTGGAGAGGAGACAACAGGAGCCCAGGCGGCTGGCCTCTCACCTCACACCTGTCCACTCCGCTGCCACTTCTCCACCACTCCAGCCTCCCTGCGCGCAGGCCAGAACCTCTGGCCCCCAGGCGAGAGCACTGGTTAATAAGGGCCCAGCCCCAGGCGGAGCCAGCCTGGCCCGCCCCCTGGCAGCAGGGCCTAAGTGGCAGCGTGGTGGCAGGTGGACCGTGGGTAGCTGCACCGCCCCACACACTAAATTTAACCAGCAGCCTACTCCTGGCCCTCCCCCAGATTGGACACCCCTCCAACCACTAATGCTTGGGGAAGGGCGGGCCCTTGCGGACTCGGGACTGACGGTAGCAGGTGACCTGAGTCCATGCCACCCAGTGCTGGTGGCCATGCAAAGCTGCCCACCATGGACTATGAGCTGGCAGTGCCCTCAGCCCGCCCAATCGAGCTCCCTGTAATCCTGACACGCGGCGCCCAGCCACTCAGAGCCTGAGTGGCTCAGTGCTCCCCCGCTTTGCCAGCCCAGGCAAAAGCTAGCAGCCAGGCCCCAGGATCAGGCTGCATGCCAGGAAGGGGAGACCCACCCCCTGGGTGGTTCCTGACACTAGCCTTGAAAAGGCTTCACCCCTCTGGCTCTGGCTCCCCCTTTCCAAACCAGGATCCCTGTTCCTCTGGGATGGACTCCCCCAGCCCTGGTTCCCAAGGAGTGGCCTTCCAAAGCTCCCTGCTCCCCTCAGGAAAGTAGAGTTACAGAGGAATCTCCAGGAGCCCAGGAAGGCAGGGAGCAGCAAGGGCCAGGCCTCTCGCTCAGTGGCCATGGCCTCACTGCCATACAGGAACTTGCCCACCACCAGCGAGCCCCAGCGCACACCTCCAGGCCCCAGACAGGTGCTCATAGGGACGGCGCACCCGGCCCAGCAACACAGCAGCTGCCCACCACGGGGACGGTGGCCCAGCTGAGACACACAACGCAGGTGGCAGAACGGCCCTTTATCAAGTCACAGGATGAAACTTGGTGTGTGCAGCTAGGCGCTCCCCAGGTACAGCTTCTGCCCCAGGTCCGTTCCTGAGTGGGGAGGCGGGGAGGCCCCCGCTCACTGTGCCTGGAGCAGGACCCTCACATGAGCAGACAGCAGGGCCTCTTCTCCATGGAGGCCTCCTCCGAGGGGGCTGTGAGCTTGAGCAGGGGTGGGTCTCCACCAGCCCTGGAGCTGCACTCGGGCTGGGGGGTCTCTGTGTCCAAAGGCAGGCCAGACTCGGGGGTCTCAGGCCCCTCGGGCGTGGGACGCTGCAACTTAGCAGCGGCTCGCTGGCGCTTGAGCTCTGCCAGGGTGTGGTGGGCCTTGGACCGGCCCAGGGCATCAGGGATGGTGCTCTCCAGGGGGCTCAGCTGGTAGGAGACACTGCGGTCCAGCCTCTTGGAGTACAGGTGCCGCCCAGGGGGGGCTCCCACTCGGCCATTGTGTGGCCTGGACACCTCGGGGTCCTCTTCCTGTGGGGTTAGTATGGGCCCCAGCGGCCATTAGGAGGGCACTCGCTGGCCTCCCCTGGCCTTGGGCCCCCCGCTGCATGGTAGTCAGGGGCAGACATGAGGGTGACCCTTACAGGGTACTGGTCTGCTACATGGGCACAGGGCCATGAGCTTGCCCCACAGGGAGGGTGGAGCTCACCTCCAGGGGTGAGGGCCTGAGCTCTGCGTCTGTCTGGCGGTCCTCGTCCTCTTCAGCTGGCTCGGGGCTGGTGGGTGGTGGCTGCTGCCACACGATGGCCTCTTGGGCGTGCTCCTTTCGGTACAGGCTGGTGCGCTGGGTCAGACTCACCCGCCTCACCACCTTCCTGGGGGAGGGCAGGGTGAGGGTTGGGGGAGGACACCACCCGCCCTGTGGACTCTGCCCAGGGCTCCAGCTGGCACTTCAGCAGCTGGCAGAGCAAAGGCCTGGAGGCGGGGCGGGGGCAAGGCGCTCACCCCCGGCTGCCGGCGCTGGAAGTGCGGCGGCGCAGCAGAGAGCGCTGGCGACCTTGGGCACGCAGGAGCGCATCATGCTTGTGCTTCAGCTCCAGCAGCTTGGTCCGCACCTCCTCATCCCCGCACAGGTCTGCAGAGAAGTGGGCGGAGGGTTACAGGAGCCCTCCCGCTGATCCCCTGCACCGGGAGGAGGCGGACCCTAGCTCCCCTAGCTCACCCAGAGGCGTCTCGTCCATCAGGGACTTCCCGTTGAGGTCGGCCCCATGTGCCACAAGCAGCTCCACTAGGTGTACCTGCAGGCCAGTGAGCCCAGGCTGCTGAAGGCTCCAGATCTGCGGGGGCCCCAGTCCCAGCTGCCCCAGCCCCACACTCACCTGGCCCCAGTAGGCAGCCGCATGCAGCGGCTCCCAGCCGTCACGGTCCTTGGCGCTCAGGCTGGCCCCATGCTCCAGCAGCAGGGTGGCCGCCTCACTGAACCCATTGGCAGTGGCGACGTGTAGCTGCAGGCAAACCACCCAGCCCTGAGTCCCATCACGCCCTCCAGCAGCAACCTCCCACACCTGTGTCCCTGTGCCCCACTGGCCGCGTCCTCACCAGCGTGGCCCCATGGTCCCCGGGGGCATTGAGATCAGCCCCCGACTGCAGCAGGCTCTGGATGTCCTCCAGCATATGCCGCTCTGGCAAGGCCCGGGCCGCCTCAATGCTGTCCTGCGTGATGCCTGCAGGGCCACAGGCTCAGGCCACAGCCCCTGCCACAGCCCCCGCCCCGGCCAGCATGTGGGGTCACACTTACCGCGGTTGGCCATGGCTGTCTCAAGGCAGTCCAGTGTCTGCTCATCCTCACAGAGATCGTAGGGCATGTTCCCGTCAGTGTTGACTGCCAAGAGGTCAGCACCGCTGCAGGGAGGATGGATAGGGTGCTGGCCACAGGACCTCTCTCACCTTCTCCTCCCAGGGCTTCCCTCTGCAGAAGCCCTCAGCCTAGGGCTGCCCGCCAGGACACTGGAGCTATCAATGAGGAGGCTCAGGCCCCGGCTGCCCCCGGGCCCGTCTGGCTGCCCCTCAACCCTGGATCCTGTCCTCAAGCCAGGTAGGTGACCTGCAGCCTCACCTGTGTCTCCAGGTTCTCGGCACCCATGTGTGCCCCTATGTGGGCCCACCTGCCAGGAGGGTGCCGGGATGCTGGAGGCCCCAGGGAGCAGAAATGTGGGAGGAAAGCCTGGGTGCCAAGAGAGCCCAGAGCCGAAGGGACCAGGGCTCAAGTGGGAGCTAAGAGGGGCTCAGAACACAGGGGGGGCATCCACGTGGAGGAGTGGGGTGGGACTGCCTGTGCACAGCCAGCTGCCTCAGGACCCTGCATCCCCCACACCAATGCCTAGACCATTCCCCAGACCACCTGAGCCCCTAAACCACTATCACACTAGAGGGATCAGAGTTGAGGGACCCCGGCAGGGGGCTCCTGGGTCCTGGTGAAGCCGACCACCTTCCCATTCACCAAGGCAGCTGTTCAGCAATCCTGTCCTGCTCCATCCTCCTTGTTAAAGACCCCACCTGTGTCCAGGTACCCACTCCCTCCTTGCCAACTCCACCCTCATCACTGACCAGAATGGCACGCCTGGCTCTGCAGGAAAGCCCTCCTGCCCTGCCCAGCTGCAGCCCCTCCCACACAGGTGCCCACTCTGGTCACCTGCTCCCAGCGGGCCCTACCGGGCAATGAGCAGCTCCACCAGGTGCAGGTGGCCACAGGTGGCTGCAGCATGCAGGGGCGTCCAGCACTCACTGTCGTGGGCGTTGACCTTGGCCCCGGCCTCCAGGAGTTGCTGCACCATCTCCCGGAAGTCGTCAATGCAGCTCTGCAAACCGGGCAGCCTGAGCGCCAGAGTCCCCCCAGGGCACCCTCCCAGTGCCTCCCCACCACCCCCATATGGCTGACCTGGTGCAGGGCTGTCAGACCGTCCTCATTGGCCAGGTCAGGGCTAACCCCACTTGCGAGGAACTGGCGGACTGAAAGGAGAGTTACGGTCAGGGTACAGGAACAGAGGTCCTGCCATAGGCCAGCTCTGTCCTAGCCAGACCCCCGTGCCTGAGGGTACCTGGGCTGAATGCTGTGCTATAGCCGGGGAGCATGGCAGGATGAGGGAGACGATGGTACAGGTGGCAGGAGGGACGCCAGAACCAGGCCAAGGGCTCAGGAGCCAGCCACTGGGCATCTTCTGGCCCAACTGGGGCACACAGAGCAGCCCTCTGCCTCCAGCCCCCAGCAGGACCCACCCATCCCAAACCATGGCACCCCAACCCGCAGACCCAGCATGGACCCCTCCTGTGAGAGCAGACCCCGCTGGGTTCATGACTGTCCCCACCATGACCCATGCCTCCCCTCAGCCTTCCCCACCTGCAGCCCCTCTCCCCCCGCCAGGGTCTTCCATGAGCAGAGCCAGTCTCTGCCCTCACTTCTCTTCAACAGTCCCACCTTGGGCCCGGGCTCTCGCCAAGGTCACCTGGGACCTCCTTGGTGGCCTGGCCTTCCCGGACAGTGCTCTCCACAGCCAGCATGAGGACACACCCTCCTTCCAACACTTCCCTGTGACCTGGCTTGCGGCACACCCACCGCGCCCTCCACTCCCCCTGCCTCCTGGCCCTCTACACCTGAGGCTCCAGCCCTGGAGGGGGGCAGGAAGAGCCCTCAGGAGCCTCTGTGGAGGGCATGGGGAGGAACGGGGAGTCTGCCAAAGGCTCAGGCCTGTCCTCACACCAGGAGGTTCTCATGGGGAGGAAGAAGTCTGGGGGGCCAGCCCGCACTCTGACCTGCATAAGTGGACGTCACTGTCCTACTTTACAGAGGCAGAGAGACACAGGCCCCAAGCAGGACTCTTGAGCAGTGCCCATCTCCCCAGCACCAGGCGGGAGGCTCCGGGTCAGCCCAGCCCACGGGAGCTGAGCCCCAGGCACTTCAGGCTCCGAGGAGCCCCCGCCGTTGGCCTCACCTGGGCAGCAGGACCCCTCTTTGCGTGCTGCCCCATCACTGGGATCCCCACAAGACGGTCTCACAAGGCCTGCGCCAGGGTGACAGAGACAGGGCTGCTGGCCATGCCCCGGCCTGAGGTCAGCTACACTCACCTTCCTCCAGGTCATTCCGGGCAGCAGCCTCCAGGAGGGTGACGCTGGGAGGAAACAGGACCTGCTTCTGCGGCCTGCCCACGGCTGCCTCCGTCCGCGCTCGCTCCCTGTGGCCCTTTCTGCTCTGGGCCTCCTTCTCAGCCTGGGCCCACACCTTCACCTGCTGGGCACGGCGCTTCTGGGCGTGCTTCAGCCGCTCCTGGGTGCTCATCCTGCCCACCATGGGCATCTCTGCCAGCAGCTCCAGGTGCTCGGCCATGGCGGGGGCTGCTTGCTGGGGGCGCTGCTCGGGGCACCAGACGGAGCAGCGAGGGGGCCAGGCTGGGGCTGAGGGGTGGGGCAGCTGGCTGGACTGGCACCCTTGGGAGCATCCCCTCCCCAAGGCTCAGAGCACTCTGCCCCCAGCAAGGCTGGCTCAGGAGGCTCCACTCCGTGACCAGGCCCAGGCAGCCCTGAGGGGTGTGGGTCCCAGGCAAAAAGGGTAGCGTGGGAGGGCACCTCAGCCTGCCTCCCAGGAGCCTGGCAGCTCACCGGGCAGGGCCTCCCTCCCTCCCTCTTGGGGTCAGGGTGCACAGCCTGTGGGGAGCAGTGCAGGACCTGGCCGCCTCAGTCCCAGCTCTGCAGCTAATCACCCAGATAACAAAGTTGCAGCTTCCTGGCACCTCGCCGGAGGGGCAGGGCAATGGGCAGAGGCCCCTGGGAGTCCTGCAAGCCCCCTCGCCTTCCAGGCCTCAGGAGCCCAGGTGGGGCCTGGGAGCAGCCATGGCCTGGCCGTCCCTCTCCTCTCCCTTCTCTTCTTGGTGTGTCTTCCAGGGTCAGTACATCAGCGCTGAGGAGTAGGTGTGGCTGGAGGGCGGGCTCAGCAGCCACCAGAGGGCAAGGCAGGGCGTGTGCGTGAATCTTGGGGTCCCAGACCTGGTGTCCAGGGATGAGGCTCTGAGCAGCCGGGCACCAAGCGCACAGTGAGTCTGGAATGATCTTCAGGAGGGTGGCCCCTTTGGAGGAGCCCTGGGCCGGTGATCAGGTGGCTCCCACTGGCCTGAGGAGGAAGAGGAAGCACAGTAAGGCCAACTTGGGCGGGGCAGGCTGGGCTCCGGGTGGCTGGCTGGCAGGTGAGGCCCAGCCCATGCCCGCAGTGAGCACTGCAGGGCAGCTGAGGAAGCAGGAGGAGCTCCTGGAGGCTGCCCCTCAGGGCCAGGCGCTGGCCTCTGGGGGGCGTTTTCTGCAGCTTCTCAGGCTCCCGGCTCTGGCCTGGTCCCCAGAGCTTCGCTGACCTTGTCTGCCCCAGGCTGGGCCAGGCAAAGGCACCTTCTTGGGCTTTGCCGGGACGGCCCCAAGGGCACACCCTTCCTCTTGGGCCTCAGGCCTCCCCGCTGCTTTGCCCCAGAGGGCACAGCCCATCCTGATCAGCCCCAGCTCCTCACTGCCCAGCGTCTGGGCCTTTTCCTCGCCAGGCTCCCTAGTCCAGTCCAGTCAATGCCTGGCCATCCTGGGCTGCAATAAAGCCCTGACTGTGTGGACACAGGCCCAAGTGGCCTGCCTGGCTTGGATCTATTACAACCGTGCTGCCCAGGACCCCTGATGTGGTCATTGGGAGGTCACAGGAAATGCCTCAGGAGGCCCGGGCCATGCTCCGCCCAGAAGGTGCTCATCGCCGCTCCCCAAGAGCCCCAGTTCTCATACATACTGACCCAGCCTTCCTCTAGCCAGACTTGTATTCAGGGCTCAGGGAGTACCCCCATATTTCTGGAGGGGGTCTGTCCTGGGCCAGAGCAAGTCCCCCCCGCCTCCCATCTCTGAGAGCCTGGCCTTGGAGGCTTCCTGGGGATGGGACTGGGGACCAGCAGGGCCAGGAAAGAGCTCTCCAGGCAGCACTCCTGCTCTGGGCAGCCTGTTCCCAGATGGCCACCTCTGCAGACTGCAGACAAGCTGTCCACTCCCTGCCCGGGGTCCCACGTCCTGCCTTTGCCCTCGGGGACATGGCTGCCCTGCACCGAGACAGGCTTTGGTCCAGGTCCTGCAGGCGCCCTGGGGCATGGAGAGCCCTCAGCTGTCTGCTCAGCTCTCCTTCCCTGCCGGCTGCTCACAGCCCCCCTCAGGCCCCGCCAGGGAGCTGGATCGCACACACGCACACATGAGGCTGCGAGGTGGGACCTTCACCTCTGCTGTTGGTGGCTGGGCCCACCAGGGAAGCCGACCCGAATAGCCCACACCAGGAGATGAGGAGCAAGGAGCGGGGCAGGCTGCCTTCTGCCCGGCCTGCAGGCTCCGGCCGTGGGAGGGGAGAGCACCCACAGAGAAGGCCACCCCCACCCTGTCCACAAGGAGCCCTCCATGGGCCAAGGCTTCCCAGCAATGGGCTCCCAGGGGCTTGGGGACTCATTTCACTTCTCCAAGATGGACGCCAATATAAAAACCACTGCCTGGTTTTAAGTTTAATAAGATTTAGGAGATGTCATCTACCCCATCACTTTACAAAAAAAAAACCAGAGTGTCTGATGCCCATGTCCTACAGAAAACAACCTAGAATAGCAACCAGCTTTTCAAATGGAATACATGCTGCCTTGGGTTTCTCATGTTGAAGGCCATCTGTAAAACTTCATCCTAGAGCAGGGTCTGGACAGCTTCCCTCCCCACCCCAGGTGCAAAGAGAGGAAAGGGCGCAGCGCTGGAGCCGCACACCAGGCCCTACCGGCCCCTGGCACCCCAGTAGCACACACAGGAGATGCCGGGCTCCTAGTCTGGGCCGTGGCAGCTCACACGGGTCCTCAGTCCCTCGACTCTGGTGAGACCCCGTCATGAAGCCCCAGACCCTCTGGGCCCCTTTAGCAGCACTCCTTGCTGGAAGCCATCTGAAGGCGGTCTACTTGTGGCCTTAGGCAGCCCGACTGCCTCTGAGAAAGGAGGTGACCGTGGGGAGGGCCAGGCCCCACTGCAGTGGGCGCCCTATCCCAGTATCGTCTTCAATAAGGGGCACCACACGGCCAGGGCCTGGCTCCCCCAGCATGGGCCCTAAGCTCTCGAGTCCCCAGCCCTCTGGACTCTGCCGGCTGTTCCTTACTGAGCCCCAGTCAGCTTCTTCCTCCCAGCCACAGCTGGGAACAGGACACCAGAGCTGCAAGAGTCGCCCCTCAGCTGAGCCAGGAAGGCCAGGCCAGCTCATGTAGTCCCACCAATGGCCACCACACCACCCCAGGCCTTTTGAAAGGGGCTAAGCAGGGCCGCTCCCACCTCCGTCCACAAATGCACCCCCAACCAAGGCTCCCTGGAATGTCAGACAGATAATCTGCGCGATTTCTTCCAGTTCTCAGCTCTGCCCAGGCACACTGCCAGGGAGTGTGGGACAAGGTGGGAGGAGCCTCCTGGGAGAACAGTGACCACTGCACCCCAACCTCTTGGCCTGTACCACTAGGCTGTCCCCAAGGCTGTGCCGAGTGCACCACCAGACACCTGGCCTTTGGGACAGGAGGCCCACTGTGGACAGATCCACGCTGGCCTGGGTGTCTCAGCAGCCCTCTCCATAACCACTGCCACAGCATTCCTCGGGCAGGTCCCTGTCACTATCCCCACTTTCCACCTGGGGAAACTGAGGCTCTGCCTAATGCAGAGTACTGGACTGACCACTCTGCCACACTGCCTCTCATACCCACGTCACAGCGTCTCTGAGAATTACAGCCCATGCAACAGGAGCCAGAGCCTGTGAGGGGCAGAAGTGTCACCTTACTCCCAGAGACAGGAGGAGGAGGGGTTAAGGGGGCGGGGCAGGCGCCCACTGGCCTTCCCTTGGGCTCTGGGGGCTTCACACATGTTTAGCTTGTTGGAGAGGGTTCCTGTAACTTGCAATCAAAAGCGCTGGCTGTCTCTGTGGCATTGTCTGTAATAGCAAATAAAGGGAAACTCCCAGGATGCCCTTCACTCTAGAAAAGTCGAGTGTGTATACGCTTTCTGGAGACAACCACACAGAGAAGTCGTCTAGATGCCAGGGGCTGGGACACGGTCCCCAGAAACCCTGGCTAAAGGTAGGGTGTTTGGGACACCTGCAGGCAAAGGGCATGGGGCAGTGAACCACCCTCAGCACCTCTGGACCCTGGCTGGACTCCAGTTTGAAAGGCTGTGGTCCCCATTGTCCCAACAAATGTCCCCACTCCTGCAGGCACATGCCCCACAGCGGCTTCCAGGGAGGGCAAAGGCCAGATGCCAAGGGCACTGTGTTCTACAGGACACACGCCTGTCCATGGGAGGGGAACCCTTAGTGTTTGAGGGGTTGAGGCCCAAGGTGCCCTGTGGCTCTCACCACCCAGATAAGGGGCCAGATACCTGGAGACCCTGAAACGTGCCAAGTGCAGCATCGGGTCATGAAGAGGTGGCCTGGCACCTGACCCGGAAGGGCACAACAGGCTTCACTATGGGAACCTGACCGGTTTGCATGCTCTGGGTGCACGACAAGCTCTCCTCGCTCTCCTGCTCTCCCAGGCTCTGCTCTGAGGGTGGGGACAGGGCACAGGCCCTGCCCTCGGCAGAGGAGCAGGATGTGCATCAGGCAGTCAGGTGAGGCCCACTGGGGGTGGCTCTGGGCTGGGCCCCTGTGCCCAGACCCGGAGAGGAGGAGGAAGCAGCCCAGCTGCTAGCCCACGGCAGCCCCACTGGCAAGTTCCAGGAGCAGTCTGGGGGCTAGCGGCAAGGCGGGGCGGGCTGAGGAAGTGTGAGTGGCAGGGACAGAGCGGCAGTTGGGCAGGCGGCTCCTCGCACGGGCATGGAGATGTTGGGAAGAGCAGATCTAGGGTGCTGCTGTGGGCACCCTCACCACTGATGCCATGTGGCTGCAGAGCGGCGATTCCCAGAGTGCACGCACCTGCCCTCAGCAGGCCTGTTCTAGACCATTCTAGAAGCTATTCCACAGTGCTATCAGGCCCCTAGCTGCAGCACCTTTATGAAAAAACACAGGGAATGACCTACAGGTCCAATTACAAAAGCTCCTGAGGGTCTCTGAGGACGCTGTGTATGGACCCCCGTGGAAAGGCTACTGAGAAGCACAGGGGACAGGGCAGAATCTGTGGATGGTATGCTACCATTTATGAAAAAAAGGAGTAAAGTAAGAATGTGCATTTGTACCTATATAAGGAACATGAGAAACCCGAGAAAGAGGTGAAGTGACACACAGTGGTTACAGGTAGGCAGGGATTGTGCACGCTGGTCGCTTCTGTTGACTTGTGAGCCGTGAGAAGTGACTTTCCAAAATGACTTTAAGCGCTGTTTTGGGAGGGCAGGCGCACACACCTGCTGGGTATCAGGTTGGGCCTGGGAGTGCAAGGCCGTAGAAGGACACCCCTGGAGCGTCTTCTGTCTTTGGCCAAGCAGTTGGCCTCTGCCCAACAGGCCGTGGCAGCCAGAGGCTTTCAGACAAATGAGCGATGTGATCAGATCTGGAGCGGTGGGGGGGACCTCACTGGAGAGACACTGAGACCTGCACCCCCACCCAGCAGGGAATGGACAGGAGAGGACCAGAGTAACCGGGTGGGGGTGGACAGCATTGGGATGCAGGGAAGGAACATCAAGGGGCAGGCATTGACCCAGTGTCCAGGGTGTTCCAGGGCCAGGAAGCCCAGCGCAGAGCGGTCAGCAGAGGCGAGAGAGGAAGACCAGAGTGGCCACTGCAGGGAACCAGCGAGGGCCACACACTGAAATCCACTCACACATCACAGACACAGCTGTAAGGAAAACTAAAACCATACAAGGACGAGAAGGTGGACGGGAAGGAGTCTGTGTGATCCCAGCAAAAAGGAAAGCATTTCTAAGCTGTGCTGAAACCCAAAGCTGAAAAGAAAACAGCTGAATCTGATTACACAAGATTTTCCAAATGTCTGCATTGTAAAAACAAAACAAAACCTACAAGGCCAGACAGGTGGTCAACTGGGCAAAAACATTTACAATAAACATGACAAAGGGGTCCTCAGGTCAGGCATGATGAGCAAAGGGCAAGAGAGCTCACAGGACAAAGGACACAGGTCCCATCGAAAACATCCAAGCGGACGCTCAATT